TTCTGGCCTTTGCCTTGTTAAAGAAGGACTTCGCCATTGTTTCATCCGTGTGTTCCTTCTTGACTCTAGCCTATATCCTCCAAGCCTCCGATTGGTGCTTGATGTAGTCCTGAAGGTGGTTTGTGGCTTGTTGCAGTTTGTCAAAGGAGGGGCGGTGAAGGGGGTCTTCCATGAGCTGGTCATCCCACTCTTCCAGTTCGTGCATAAGCCTATCTAGCAGGGCTTTGCGGTCTCTAGCGTATTGGATTGAAAACTTTTTGGATCTCTCCCTTAATTGTGTCACCCCATCGTTAAACCAGGCCACCCTTTCCCCGGATTGCAGGTATAGCCAAAGGAGGTGATCATGTCTTTGTAGTTAGACAGGCGGAGGAGGGATCTGTTGTTGGTGTTGGTGTTGGGCATGAATTTCGTTTTGTGTTTGGTGCAGCAGCTGCAATTGCATCTGTTGGTGTGTGTGGAGTTCTTGTTGTCGTTGTTGCTGCAATTGGTGGTGCAAATGGTCCTGGTGCTGGTGAAGATGTTGTATTGCTTGGATGTGCTGTGTTTGTTGTTGGTGAGTGTGATTGTGTTGCTGGCGTGGTACTGGTGTCGCTGTTGTGGCTGCAATTGGTGTTGTAGCTGCTCTTGCTGCTGGTGCTGGTGTGGCTATTGCACCGGTTGAATAGGCTGCGCTTGTTGTTGAAGGCCGGTGTGCATTGTCGTCAGATAGCACTGTTCCTTTAGCGTTTGCTGCTGCTGCTGTTGTTGCTGCCCTTGTATCACATCTTGCTGTTGCTTCTCCCTCGTTTGTTGTTGTTCCTCTCCATGGTGCTGAGAGCAATAATCCGCCGTATCCGAGGGCTGGGCGAGATGTTGTTGATCCTGGCGGCCCTGTCGCAGCCCTATGTGCTGCCACCCGTTGTGATGTTGTTGTTGTGTTCCAGTCTGTCCCTAGTGAGGGGACGGCGAGAGGTGCAAGTTGAGGCTACCGGGTTGCATCCCGTCCAGTCGGGCTTGCTGTGTGTCTCGGTGGATGAGCTGCGAGAATTGGGACTGGGACAGTCGCAGGTGCAGGGGTGTTGGCTGCTTTCCGTGAGTCTGCGTCTGGTGGTCCATGCTCGCGGGCAGCGACAGGCCTGAGCCCTCCTCCCTCCCTCAGTCTGCCCTCACTTCTCTGCAGCTGCAATTGTTGAGGTATGTTGTCCTCTCCTCCGAGTGGGCCATCTTGAGGGGGAACCATCCATTTAACCGGATCCTGGGAGGGGGACGGTGCTGGTAGGGCATTCAGGGGTTGTTTGGGCTGCGGTAGGTCCCAATGCTGGGACAAGTTGGCGTCTTTATTTTAATTGAGGAGAGAGTTTGCTTTCAACCATATGTGTTGTGTCTTCAAAGTTTTAGACGTTCCCTCCTCAACAGCTTTGCTGATGCCAGTTATCCCGGGGGGGGGGGCGGCGGGGGGGGGGGGGGGGGGGGGGGGGGGGGGGGGGGGGGGGTCCGTGCCCCTGTGCAGTTTCGTAGTGCTCGGCCGCTTCGGCCTCCGCCTGAAGGCGGTGTACTCGGTCCCCATAACAGCTCCCCAATCGTTGGGGGGCTGAAGAGGCATGAACTTCATCTCCCCTGTCACTTTCGAGACGACCTTCACCATACATGCGCCTGGTTGTGTCTCGCTGTTCGGCCCCGGCGACAGTCTTTCTGCTTTCATTTTCGTTAGCCCATAGGGTGATGGTTGCCCAGCCCCCTGCTTGGCTTCAGGTTCCACAAACGGCAACACGAGCCCCCCAAGGGACCCCTCCTGCACCACGTAGGCCCCAAACCTCTGGAGATTTTCAGCATTAGCAAAGATCTTCCCGGGTTCTGCAGTTTTTTCCAGCACTGGTATTTGTGCCGCAGGTCGGGTTTGTTGCATGTGGTGCAGCTGTGTGCCCAACTCAGTGATCTTGATTTCTGCCAGGTGCAATTATGTGCCCAACTCAGTGTTCTTCATTTCTCACAGCCTACCGGACCCTAAGGCAAGTTCTATAGTCCGGGATTTGCTTGCTGCCGCTTCCGGGATTGCAAGGTGTGACCCGATTTGTCCTTGAGTATTTGTTCCCTGCGTTGGATGGTGCAAAAGTATACCCAGGTCAGTGATACTGAACTCTCCGGGCTTAACGGACCCTGAGCCAGGTTCTGCAGTCTGGGCACAGCTCGCTGCCGCTTCCGGGTTTGTAAGGGGTGACGTTATCCGTCCTGTGGTATCTGTTTCCTGCGTTGGCTATGAGGGCGAGGGGAGAGGGGTGTGTCTGTGGTGGAACTTCACTCCCAAGTCTTTGGTGTGGGTGCCTGTAGTGACCTCACCTTGGTGAGCCCCTGGCAATCCCTGCTGGATTGGGGTCGGGCATGGGGGCTTTCATCGGGTTCGAGGCCTGACACGGCCGGCAGGGCCCGACCCTTCTCCTCTTCGTGCCTGGTTCCCCGTTGGGTAGCATTCCATCCAGTCCGATCCCCCTGCTGATGGACTTTCACCGGGCACGGGGACCCTGTTTTCTGCGTGGGTGGGACTGTTGGGCAAGGTGGCTGTTGTTTTTGGAGCACTTGTGCCCACGGATCTGTGATTTTGATCTCTCCCCAGTGGCCGATTGTTGTGGCCCCGATGGCCCCTGCTGACTCTGGGTCGGGCCCGAAGGCCGTTTGTCCCCACTGTGGCCAACGTAGCGCGACCATTCTCCTGTTCCCGGTCAGCCACCGGCCCGCGTACGTCCTTGACGGGTTGGGCAGCAGTCCGGCCTTGGGTGCTAGCCTGTGGTGGGACTGGCAGTGGGTCATGGCGGGTCTGATGGGATTGCTGCTCGGACTCTGAGATTTCACAGGCAGTTGAGTTCTGTCGGGCGGGGGGGGAGGGCGCAGTCACTTGCTGCTGTTACTTGGGCTTATACATTTGTCCCCTTCGGGTGAGCCCTCGGATGGGACCTGTGATGAGTGGTGTCGGCGCATGGGGTGTGCCGACTAGAGCCGCTTGGCTGGTCCATTTGCTTCCAGCATGATTGGGTGAGCACGTCCTCCCTACATCTGTTCCACCATCGTGGTTAGCCTGACCGTGTGCTGCTCTCTGCCGTGGTGGCTCTGGGGTAGCACCCTTATGTCCTTTTTGTTTGGAGTCTTCGCTTATGACAACTTTGGCCCCCCAAGGAAAGAACCTCAGTTGACCCTTTGCTTGTCATAGCCATTTGCCTTGGCGCCTGTCTCGTCAGGGAACCATGTCTCCTCATCCATGGGGTGAGGGGTCACGAGTCCCTTTATTGTCATTTTGTGATTGTCCGGGCATGCTTCGTTCGTGCACAAGTGGTCCCTTGCTTTACGCGCATAACGCCATGAATCTTGCATGTGGCTGACAGGGACAGAGTATTCTCTTCCTGCATTGGGAGTAACGCCACTCTTCGTTTAGGAGGAAGGGGAATAGATTGGAGCATGTCTTCTGAAAAAAAAAAAAAAAAAAAAAAAAAAAAAAAAAAAAGGAAAAAAAAAAAAAAAAGAAGGATTCGTCCCAGTCATCGCGTTTACCCAGGAACATGGGCAGATCCGTTATGTAGCCCTTGATAGGGGCAATGTTTTCCAGGTCGGTGAGGAGCGCACCCTGGACGCATACGGGCGAGAACCTGAATTCAACCTAGAAGTTTAATTTCACGAGGTGCTCCCTGCGCTCATCGGCTGACTGTGGGTTGGTCGGGAACCACGCTGCCACTTGCACTGCGACGTGAGGATGGGATGGGAGGTGGTCTCATACTCCAGGACACCCATGGCCTACTGCTCCAGGTGATCACTGTGCACTCAGTGACTGGCCTCTACAACAGGCCACAATCTTATGGGCTTGCCATAAAACCGTTCCTCACGAATACGCCCGACCCAAGAAGGAGAAGGTACTTAAGAAATACCGTGTTCTGCAATCCATGTATCGCTAACCAATCAGGCAACCAGATGGCTTTCATGAGTTAGAAGGGAGTGTGGAAAGTTCAGCATTTGTGGTTCGAAGAACTTCGAAGACTGGGTGAGAGAAAGGAAATGAGAATTCCCTCTGAAGGGTTTTCAATTCCTCTCAGAATACCTCACTGTCATTAAAAAAAGCATCCCTCCCTCCAGCATGGGTTGGACTGGTAAATGACAAGGACTTCTCCCAGCCATTTTTCTACAACGCGGCTGTGCTCGTGCCGCCTGTGGCAGGATGTACCACCTGCCACTTTGCAAGAAAATCATCCAGGGGAAATAGACAGTGCACGAGCAGGATGGTACATCCGTGCTCGTGCCGCCTGTGGCAGGATGTAGGTGTACCACCGTTTTTGTGCGGATGAATTTGGCACGAACAATGGCAGGCCTGTACCTGCCAGACACGGCACGAGCACTGCCACATTGTCGAAAAATGGCCGGGAAATGTACTGGGGTGGTTCAAAGGGAGCTGTTACACGGCAACCAAACGACTGGGAGATCCTTTTTTTTGTTTTTCCATCCTCATCTCCCAGACCCATCCAGTCAGAACATGACGATCCGAAAAAAGACTAACAGTCAACAGGTACAGTGCAAGGTTTATCTCATTCCTAATCACAATGCAACTGAAGCGGGGTTCGAAAAGACTAACAGCCAACAGCATCAGAGGCGGTCCTTCCTCAGACAGTGGTAAGAGCCTGTGCGTGGTGACGGGGCCCTCTGAGGGGGTGAAAACCCCAAACCTGGACCACAGTGGAAGTCAGGGGATTGCTTTTTCTTACTGGGGAAAGTCTAAAGAAGCCCTGGTACAACTTCCTCATAGACAAGAGCATTTGAGAAAAAACTAGAGTGGAACCGAAGAGAGGAGCTGCGCTAGCGCTAGCGCCCCGTTGCCGCCAGTCCGGCAAGGCCCGGGCTGCCGGCTCGACTAGTGCCCGGGGGAGGTCCTTCGGGCGTTAGGCCTGTACGGGCGCCCGGCAGACGCGCGTGGTGTTTTGCCACGTGGCGCCTGCTGTTAGCGATGCAGGTGTCCCGCGACGCGCTGACAGGGGTGACGCCAGCCGTGGAACTGTTGACACGTTGACGTTTAGTAGCGGCAGCTTCAATATTATCAGTAACGATTGAGGAGGGCATGGAGACTTCGCTTCATGGGGGGCTGCGGGGAACCCCTCTTGACCTGCAGGTTGAGGAGGAAGTGTCCGCGCTGTCTATTGTGATAATTTACAAACAGCAGCTGGAGGAGATGTACGCGGCGCTGTGTCAAGCGCATGGCGATCTGCCATATGATGTTCTGCTAGAGGGAGAGGAGACCTGCGATGGGTGGGAAGAGGAACTTTATGAACAGATCTCTTTTCGACAGCGGGATGCGATTGACAAAGCGCGGGCGATTGCCTTCTTCTACGACTGCGTTGAGATGCTGCAGCAGGTCAAAGAGATGTTTGCTGGCCTTCTAGCGAGGAGACGCGAGTGGTCCGCCGGATACCGAGACATGGACAGCATCGACAGCAGCAACACCATCAACAATATCATCAACAACATCAATTTCATCAACCTCAGCAATGACAGCACTGTCATCGACCACGACCACATCAACAGTGGTTAATACGGTTATATTGCCAATTATGACATCTATGATGATAACATCACTATCTATAGCTGCGACACCATCGAGTAATCAAGGTTGTGTTCAGCAATGTGAGCTGCTTGAGCAGGCTCATGATGCATGGGGGTTGGAAGAGGGGCCGCCCCCTTGCGTGGGACTCGCGGATCGTCTACGGTCGAATGCGCTGATGTGGCGCAGTTGCAAGGGCCTCGAGGAGGGGCGGGGTCCGTGTGGCGAGATCGATGAGCGATTTCACGATGACGACGACGACGACGATACCGTGGATGGCCTTTGCGATTGTAGCTCCACTGCTGACGATGCAGCTACGAAAGATGACGGTCTTGCCGACAAAAACAACAACAACAATCACATGGCATGCAATAATAAAACCTGCAACAATAACAAACATGGCGATGGTATTCGTTGGGAAGTAAGTGTGATTCGCCTGTTTCTCTCCCCCCTCTCTTCTCTTCCTATCCCGTTTTCTCTTCTGCATGCCGTGGGGAACGATTGGGGTCAGGGGCAAGAGGGTTGGGTGATTGGGATGTGTGGTGAACAGGAAGAGGGCGGGATGTGGGGGGAGGGATGGTGGCGGGAAGGGGTAGGATAGGCAGCACTTTAATTGCATCGATGCTCCCCGTCTAATGTGCGCTCACAGACTGTGAGGATCGTGGGGGAAGGCTGTTGTAGGTAATCTGATATGACTTTGTTCCTTGATCTGAGTATCTGTTTTACTTGTGATGTGGTGAGAGATCTTGGCTTATCCACTGATTACAAGGATCGTGGGGGGATATGGCGATTCCGTAATAAACTACTTTCGCCACGTGGCAGCGCAGAAAGGTGCAGAAAGGCGCAGTACGGATAGGTATCAAGATTGCCTAAGTGAAATTGTTGCGTTCGGCCACATGGCGCACTGGTGCCTCCTTGTTTGAGGGGATTTGAGGATCTTAAAGCTTGGGGGGGCCACTGGGGCAGGTGATCTTATAGTAGAATTTGTAATCTCCCACTCCGAATACCTCTCCCCGTTATGGCGTTGCAAACAGTGAATAGCAGATGACAAGGGTTTCGGAGTGGGTATCTACTTTTCATAGAGATGAGCAGTTAATCCCCTCAGCAGAGGACAATCAATGCTGCTCATCAGGATATAGAGTGCCGCGTGTTGGTCTGACTGATTGTGCATGGCGTTTTGTAGGATTGACACGTGACGCGGTGACATGACTTCATAACTGTTAAGGGACGCTGGACCCGATTTCCAGCAGGTGCTGGAGCCTCCCCGAGCATGCTAGTGGTGTTTGCTCTTATCAGCACCACAGCATTTACTTGGGTTATTTTCGCCAAAAAAAAAAAAGAAAAAAAAAAAAGAAAAAAAAAAAAAGAGAAAAAACTAGAATGCGACCAGGGGCAATGCGTGAAATGAAATCCCCAAAAGAACGTTGACCTTGGAGGAGGAATACACGGCAAGTTTGGGTACGACTTCAGCCTCAAGACTGAGGACCCCAACCCAGAAACTGACAAAAATTGGAAAAGAATTCTTAAACTACCAGAACTTCTGAGGCACTTTTCTTCGCGGCTGGAAAGGCCCTGCACGCCAAAAGAAAACAAAGCAGCGCGGGCCTCCTTTTGGCTGGCACCACCAGCTATATTGCTCCGGGGGCCATGCCCTGAAAGTTCCGGCAGCATGCAAGCTGCAACTTTGAAAAAATGGCTGGAGAACGTACTGGTGGTTTAACAAGAGCTGACCGAAGAACACCACAATGCCATTGTAAAATATATGACAATCAAATCCACGAAAGTTCTCAGTCTGCAGTGGGCACTGGGCAATATCAGTGTTGTAGGGCACCCAAAAAGGGAGGAGACAGAGAGCAAGGCACACATCAGTGTTTGTCCCCAACGACGAGGAAAGGATTGCACCAAGCATTGGCAACAGACTGTGTTGTTAAACCACCAGTACGTTTCCCCGCTTGGGGTCGGGGGCGCGACGGTTAACACGGAGGGCCCCCAGTTCGGCCTCCGGCACCGACCACATCCATCAGCCGCGCTTGGCGCGCAGCGCCCCCGGCCGATATATGATGAGAAAGGTACTTTAATCAGATGCTGCCTAATGAATTGCCACCCCATGCACTGGTGATTCTTGGATCGACAGCTGAACTGAAAGTTGTTTTGGTCTCATTCAAGTCGGAGAGGGAGGAATCCTAGGGAACGGCAAGCTGAGAGTTAAGGAGAGGGAGGAACCCTAGGGAACGGCAAGCTGAGAGTTAAGGAGAGGGAGGAATCCTAGGGAACGGCAAGCTGAGAGTTAAGGAGAGGGAGGAATCCTAGGGAACGGCAATCTGAGAGTTAATCCTCCGGATCATGGAGCAGTCAATGACGGTCAGGGGTCCTTCGGCCATATGGAAGGAAGCGTATCGAGGGTGCTTTTATGATGTATCTATCTTATTAGACTTGCCGCGGGAAAGGAACAGGACTTCTGTTCCCAAGAATGGAAAAGGAACCAGGACGGCTGGCAGGTGCTTGTTGGGGTGCTGTCTTTACAATAGCAGAAGGGCTCACAGGTCGAAAGGGGGGGGACGACACCACCCAGGACATGTTGGACATCATCTGGGAGCTGGAGGAGGGGCCAGATCCTCAGCTTGACGCCTTCATGGATTGGAGGCGTGCGGATGATATGATGGACGCCTGCAAAGCCCTCTTTCTCCAGGGTCGCGATCTGCACAATCGGCTGAAGGACCTCTCGAGCACACTGGATATGGAGTATCTTTCCCTGGATCTGTGGACGTTGGGCAAGAAGATCGCAGATCGGGTGACAACAACAGGACCTATCAACCGTTGCTCTGGGATGACGGGCGAGAACAGACCACACCATCACGAGGAGGGTGACTGCAACTACTTCAGTTACAACAATGGCAAGAATGACACCACCGTATCTACAATGACGCCGACAACAACACATGAAATAATGGCGAAGACAATCATGCCATCATGGCAATACACTTCACAAACGCATTACAGCCACCAAGAAATACAACACCAACAAGTGAAACAGCGACAGCGATAACTCATGGCCTGTGCATTCTGCAACAGCCGGCAGAGGTAAGACTGGGTTCTCGGGAGTCGGGTCAAGCAGATAGCAAGCTCACCTACAAGTTAGATGACCATGGGCGATTCCCGTCTTGGGGCAGCCGATGGGATGAAGACTAAAAGCACAGACAAGGAGAATGCCAGGCAGTGCCGGGGTGGACTTCGGGGGGTGTTGAATGGCTTTTACGGGAGGCTGGGTCTTGCTCCAAGCATTTGCTGTTTGCCACTATGTCTCGGACTCACTGTATGAGGGATGCTGGGCCCAGCACATGCTGCTCCCCACGAATAAGACCGCAGCCATCAACACAGTGAGCCCTACTGCAGGCCTGGGCTCTTATCGCGGCAGGCAGTAGGATCTCCTCCAGCTGATGTTTCAGGGGGAAAAAAAAAAAAAAACTGGGTTCTCCTCAGGAGGGAGTGCTGGGTTTGCTATTCATAGGGAGTCACCCCGTTCCCCCTCTTGCTTTGCTCGACCATCTGCCCCACTGTCCTTTCTTTTGCATCTGACGGGGGTGGGTTAGCAAGGAATGGTTTTTCACCGTGTGGGGTCGAGCAGGCTCCCGATCTCTAAAGTGGGTCGTTGGTCTGAATTTAGACTGTGTCCTGCCCGCTTCCGGACTGGATGGATCGGTGTGCGACGGATCAATGAGTGACCTCTAATTGTAGCGTGAGCGTTTTCTGGGCGGAGGTGTGCTATGAGCATTGAAGAAACACAAATAGTCATCACAATGACGGCTTTACTATCATAGTACCATCATCGTGAAATACACCATCGCTGAAAAACCTAGCGATCTCAACCCTTCTGCCGTTGAACTACTCAGGTCCAAACGTGCTTCCCGCACTCAATCTTCAATCTTAAGTACTATCTGCTTGCTTGAGGACTAACTACGACAGGTTGTTCCTTCACGCGTTCCACGATTTTCCTTCTCTCAGCAATTAGAAATATGTAGAATAAAAAAAAAAGGGGAAACTACGCGGGAGTCACAAAATCATGGTAACCCCGGACCCGGACACCGGACACTTCCGGACTGTCTTCCGGACCAGTGTCTGGACCGGTCCGGACTGTCCAGTGATCCGGACATCACCGGACACCGGACAGTCCGGAGCGGTCCCCGGGGTGCAAAAACGTCCGGACCCCCCCCCCCAAAAAAAAAAAAAAACGGGGG